TCAATTTCTTAATTAAATTAATAGTTTATTTTTAAAGAAGCATGCGTAATAATATGTTATTAACCAGAGGATATATGCGTTACTATTAAAAGACATGTTTACTGTTTAATGTGCTGAAACGTCTAGAACTACTGGCAACGTCGCTGCTAGTCTTCCAGAATGAAATGAGCCCTCCGTCCAACCACCCCTCGCGAGGGCCCTTGGTCCGTTATAGCGTACTACGTTTAGCTTACGGTGTGTGTGAAGTCGGAATCAAGTCCGAAGTGAACTTTTCAGTGTTTTTCAGTAGTTTTTGTTTTTGTTTAATGTACTTTTGAATCTGCGAATTTTCAATATGGTACGACAGTGCCAAATGTGTGGACAAATAAGCTCAAATTACCCGAATTTGTCTTTTCACAGGTAGGTATTGTTTCCGCCGCGCCGTAATCGTACATAGGCGTCCCACAAGGGAGCCTCTCACAATTAAAATAATTTCTAATTATATTTGTTGAATTTTGATCTATTAAAACAAGAACGTAGTAGCCGGTAATTGAATTATAATTCGTCTCAATTACTACCTAACTGTTGTAGATTATAAAAAATTTGAATATAAACGTTACATTTGAAACTTTATTATAAGCCAGAAAGTGACATTTTTTTCTTAAAATTGCGTCCTATTTTGGTCATTATATACGATATTCTAAAGGAATTTTGCTCAATAAATAAACAAAGGTATTTACCCGACCTTTTTTACATTTTATTGCTTTATTATATCTGCCCCTTCGGCCTTGTTTAGACAATTTTTTACCACCGTACAAATACATCTTCCCAGAGTTATTTGTACGGTGTGTTTAACTTTTTGTAGAATGGGACGAACTGTAAATAATTCTTAGGCTACTAGTTTTATACATACCTCTATAGAGGGCGACCCAGGCCTCCAAAAAAGCTTTTTACCTATTACGTTTTTGGTTTGTTATTTTTATTTCAATTCTTTACATAAGATGGGGGCCATTGTAACGCACATTTTCAAAAAATGTTTGTCAACATACAGGGTGATTCAAACCGCAATACATATGCTTAATACAGTTCATGAAGATTAGGACATTTAACTAAAATTTGATTATCTGATGAAGCTACCTTTAAAAGTAATGGATTTGTAAATAAACGTAATAGGTATTCATTATTATGCGACAGAAATCCCATACTGTAGCACACAGATTTTATACTTTTAATGATAAATGCCTTCTATTGCGAGACTAAAAGGTAATTGCCTCGTATCAGAGCCATCATAATACAAGAAGAAGACCGAAAGTCAAATCTTGTCTTATATTTTCAAAAAAAACACAATTTTCTCATTAAATATTGATTTTAGGTATAGGAAGTTATTAATAATACAAGATTAAACAACTATTACACAGTAGTTCACAGGAAGCTATCGATTGCGAAGTAACTAAATCGTTACTAATTTAATTAAAAATTCCTTTTTAAGATAAAAAAAGGTAAAACTAAAATCTAAACTATCATTTGAGATTAAACGGGAAGTTCTAAATAATGTTGCCTATTCTAAACAAGAAAAATTTATTTATAACTTAAGTTTTATAACATTTATAGTTAAATTTAGGCGAAAAGAATATTTCTGTTTGCTGTAGGTAATTTTCTCAGGGGAAATACGTAAATAAAAATGACTTTTTAAGTCAAAAAAGTCAAAAGGATAAGTTATTCCAAAAAAGGACTGTCCTTTTCAAAAAAGGACAAGTGGCAACCCTAGGTATTTCTGGAATGGAAATTTAATGGCAAATCTACAACTTTGGTTTGAAAATATGTTCCGGCCACCTATGTTTACAAAAATGTCTAAAATGTGCCTAAATCGCTCCATATTCTGAAAAAAAAATTGAAAGAAAAGTCACCAACCACAAACCTAATATAGAACTGTTTCGGAAGCCTGATTCACCCTGTAAATATTCAAAAGTAACTGAAAGTTTATACATATAGAAGTAACTGAAAGTTTAAATTGAAAATCGACGTTGGAATGATTTTCGAAAACTACTAACGTTTCAACATAAGTATATGTGGGATATTAATTGTATTATTATATTAGACCTTATAACAAAATTCATCTGACGAAAAAATGTTAATGTGGTATATTAATATGGAGTAAAAATTTTACTAATTACTTTACTTTTACTTTACTAATTAAATTCGTTCCAAAAAACGACACGCCACTGGCCATTAGAACAATCCCAAATGCGCCTAGTTGCCGGGGTCGGAAATTTTAGACTTCTCTGTCTCTTCTGTCCTTGTTTGAAACATTGGAATGTTTGATACACTACCAACGAGTATTTATGAATGAGATGTTCGGTCTATCTTTATAATGTCTTTGGAAATACATGTTTTATTTAAGATACTTATAACTTTTAAACATTTTGTGTGTTTTTAAGGATGAATTTAACTGCGTGACATTTTTGTAAAAAAATATATTTAAAAACACATTATTTACAACTAAATTTAACAGAATATTTCTATTTCTCGTAGTTAAGAATACGGGGTATCGTGAAAATCAAACAGTCCCTGACAGTCGATTCCTAATTCGCGCCGGTATGCCTGAGGGCTATGGCTTAGTTGGCATTGTGTCCAGGGTGCCGAATGTTCGAATATTTGTGAGTATTATTCAGAATTTGAAGGCCTATGGTGGTAGTTTAGATCCTGAGGTGGAAGATCATGATTGTAATTTAGAGTACAGTATTTTGAATGCAGTTATAGAAATTCCTGATACATCGCATCATTGGCTTCTCGTTTGATATCTCCCGATCAAAAGTTCATCAAACAATATACAAGCAAGCTTTGACGTATAACACGTACTAGATATAGAAAGTTCAAGCTCTTAAACAATAGGGTTTATCAAAAAGCGTATGGTTTTGTGAACGGACGTGAGGTAACTCACAATACCTTCCCTCTATGAGCCGACAAAAATATTAATTCTTTTATTGGATTATATATTATTTGTCGGTGGATTGATTGGAGATTCACTTCCACTGGCGAACACTATGAGAAAAGTAACGCATCAACAAAACCTCTTGGAGTTTTGCAAGGTATTTTTAAGTATTGTAACGTAGCTCTTGAATGCCAAATTTGCAACGTCCCTGTTCTCGGACACCCAAATTTGTAACGTTTGCTTCTTCCTGAGCTGTGTTACTGGCGCTTAAGTTTCTTGTATTGTTGCTTAGAAGATCTCGGGCGCCACCTCTAGTTAATAAGTGGTTAGAGGCCCACTAGTGCCGGTTCGGGTAGCTTTTAAACAGTGGAGAAGTATGGCAGTGTTACAGTTCTTTTAGCTCAGAGGTGGGGAAAATAAATTAAACTCTAATCAACAGTTATAAAATAAAGGGCAGGTTGTGTTTTCCAACTCAATACTATACCATACTAATCCTGAAGGTTACCTTGCGGGCGGTTTCGGAGCGACAGCGGATTAGAAACGACGGAGGACGGCAGGCTTTCCAATTGCTAGGCGGCGGCTGTGTCTCGGGGCTGGCTTCTGCTTGGCGGACTGCGGTGACTGTTGCTGCTGGTGCTGGTGCTGTCGGTGGTGGTGGTGTAGGAACTGTCCTTTCAGCTTCTTCTCGGTTGGTGGCTGGGTCAGGAACTGCCTTCCTCTGGCTGGCGCGTCGCTTCTTATTTTCTCCAGTCCTTCCCTCCAGTTGAGAACCGTCGTGGTGGCGGCGTGCGCCGAGCGGTGTGCGCGTCTCGATACCCGATCTAGTACCAACGGTACCAAGCGGGCTGCATCGAGCGCTTGGAATGCGTTTAATTAATTAATTAGCGCTTTTTAGGCTAATTAATGAGTTCGGTCCGTACATTAATCACACAAATAAAATTTTATTTAAAAAGTACTATGTTCTCGAAAAAGAACCAATTTTTTTTAATGTATGGAAGAGTAGAAAGATAAATTAAATAAAGAAAATTCGTAATCGGCGAAAAAAAGAGAAAAATAAAACTAAATATTACTAAAAAAAAGTAACTTCGTTACAGTATATACTTTTATGTTGATATGGCAACAGAGGGCGTGAAATAAGCAGAGAATCAACTAATCGTTGATCGCTGATCGTTGATGCCGTTGGTTCTCAAAATGTAAACTTTTTTTAACTTTAAATAATTAGGTAATTTTTAATTTATTTCAGAAATGGCACATATATTATGTTACTTTTGTCAAGACCTACCACCACTTAAAATACTTTCATTTTTGTGAAGAGACACCCTTTTTAAATTCTTGACTAGATCCATATTTTAATTATGGCTACAATTATACATATTCATATAGTATAATTACTACATATGACATAAATTACGATTGATTAACATATTCAATTGTTTTTGCTCACTTCCTGTTTAACCGGAAATGACTACAACTTTTGATTTTTAAATGGCACCCTGGTATATTTTTACTTTATTCGATAGAAAATGACATTCTGAATAGAATGACATATCATATGTCAACTTTTGATATTTTCGCTTAAAAAAATTGCATTTTAAATTTCAATCTAGAGTGCCATGGCTCTGTTAAAAACACTCATTTTTAATCAAGGAGCTTTGGAAAAATAGATTCGATCGTCTAATGTTTTTCGTGTGTTGCCCTGGCTGGTTAAAATATGCTCAAATCGTTTTTTAATCATATCTTTTTTTTTTAAATGGGTGGCTCATCAAGTATATTATAAATGGCTTTATCAAGGGTGACTCATTAGCATATTTCGAAAAAGTGTTTTCGTTCGAAAAGCGAAATTCGTAAAAAAAAATTTACGAATAATTTGGTACCACACACTTGGTATTTCCAGTCAAATTTTCGTTATGAATCGCATGTTGCAATTCCAAATAAATCATATTCGAAACTGACAAAAGTTGACATATGATATTCTATTCAGTGCTAATTTTGTCATGTGATACTACAACTAATTAGTATCGTCACTACTGAAAGGCTGAAATAATATGTTTCTTGCTGTCTTTGTTCTTACCTTATTGTTTTTTTTTAGGAAAATGTGTATTGGGTTATCAGTTATGCGCCTTGGGTGTTCTAGATACACCTACCTTAGAATTTGATACAGATTGCGTTCGTATGTTAGAATCGCTGTATGAGGATCATGGAGATACATTAGCGTTACAGTATGGTGGTTCGCAGTTGGTACACAGAATAAAAACTTATCGAAAAACGGCCCCTTGGACGTCCACAGGCAATGATATCATGCAAACATTAAGTCGCTATTACAGCAATACTTTTTCTGACGCCGAAAAACAGAACGCCATCAATTTATTTTTGGGACTTTTTAAACCTAAAGAGAAAGAACTTCAAATTTGGGATTATATCAATGACTATTATTTTCACCATAAACCAATTATATTTAGTCCAAAATCATTAACACAATGGTGGAATGAAGGAGTCTTTAAATGCTTACCGTATGCTTTCAATGATGTAACCAAGTCTTGTTTTGAATTAATACAAGTACATTCCAAGGAAATAGAAATGATAGATTCTTATGTAGACTATTACAGGTAGCTTGTTTTAAAAATAAAAGAATATTTTTGTATTCAAATGATTTTTAGGCCACATGAATTTAGTGCATTGTATGACGTTTTTGCATTTACAGTTAGTAACTCTATAAGAGACTTTATGCCCAATGCTACAGTAAATTACAGTCCTTTTGCTGTTCGAACCAGACCTGATAAAAGGCGCGAGGAAGTGATGCAGAAGGGAAATACTATTAAAAGTCCTTCAGTTACAGGTCAGAGTTCTACAAGTTCTGCTGCATCAAGTACAAGGTGGGCTTATAAAAATCAAAATGTATATACAGAGTGGCCCATTGGTATGAAGAACTCCATTATCGTCGCTGTTGTACCTAGGTTGTCTTTAGAAGAGAAAAAACTTTTTTATTATTCACATTTTGTGAAAAATGCATTCTTCATAAAAAAAACTTTGCTTGTTTATACCGTTTCAAATTTCCATACTGTTTTAGAGAAACTTATTTAAAATATGAAAATTGGTAATATAATTTCAATTTCAATTTTTGGTAAATTGTTACTGATAGAATTTTAATTAATAACCAAATACGTTTAAAATAAAATTTACTGCGGGTACCGCCTAAATTCCTGTCCCGATGTTGAAGGATGGCTATAGAATTTCAATGCATTTCCTACATAAGTCTATCCTTATGTTATAGGAGGTTTGACTAAACAAGGATGAACTTATGTTTTGAAACCGTTCGACTCGATTTTCTGTCCTTCAATACTGGGACGTAAATCCTCTCATTGCTCTTATGGGGAGGCCGTCGTATATTTTATTTAAACGTATTTGTTAATAACACTTAGTCACAACCTAACCAAACTACTTTGGAACAAGCAAATTTTTTTATGAATAATACATTTTTCTGAAAATGTCAATAATAAAAAAGTTGTCAGGGCAATCCGGGGACGTACTGTATAAATGTTGCATTGTTTACAAATGTGCATATCTTGTCTTACATGGTAAAGTTGTATTTTTGTTTAAACTCGAATTATCTTATACAGAGTATTTCTTTATGTTGTAACCCAATATCACAATATTTAAAATATTATCTCTTTTTTTTAATGCAACACCATATATATTAGTTTGCTTTTTTGTATACAGATTTAAAAAAAGATATATTTTTATATTTGAATTATATTTGCGATATTATATTACATATGACTTTTTCAACGGTAAGGTACTAGACAAAAATCATTTGGTGGCTTTGATAAAAAAATACTAATACAAAAGCCAAAGCAATAAGACTCTAAGTCTTATTGTTTTGGCTTTTGTATTACAAACCAGGTCTCTTTGAGATCAATGGACGTCTTTTTTAAATTTAAAAAATTACTGTTGAAAGAGACATGCAATATCACAAATATCTGCAAAACAGCAAATATCTGCAAAACCATTTAACTATAAAAAATGTCCATTTCTTAATTTTGCATCTAAAAGAAAAACAACTCAGTATATTATTTTCACTTCGACAAATTGAGATATAGCATTTTAAAAATATTGCTATGTTAGCCGCGCCATAAAAATACCCTGTATAATATTTGACTTTTCCTTCAGGGATATATTCTATTATCCTTGGAATTAAATAAAGTTTAACTTGCTCCAGTTATTAATTACTTTTCGCATAACATACTCTTTTTAACCGAATAAGTAATAGTGATGAATTCAATTTTGTACGAAAAATAGGGAATTCTAATTTAAAAGAGTTATAATTTTATCACTATTTGTTGAGACCCTGCACACAGTACTATATTTTTGGGATATGCATCTTTATAAACAATGCAATATTTATATAGGTAGGTATAAACCGTTTTTTGATCGTTGTCAGCAACGTATATTTATTTAACTTTTCACAAAGAGAATCTATAAAATATACAAAATTTTCGTAAGAAAATAAAATATAGTAATGCCGAGACCCCATTAGGCCACACGCCACGCTATCCCACGAGGGACAGACGACACTAATTTTTATTTTTTTTCACAAAAAAACTTTATAGACATTTCTGGGGTCGAAATATACTACCCCTAAAAATATTTGCACTTATTTCAGACTCACCATGTATAAACTCACCCTGTATAACGTCAATGGCATTCCCTATATAATTTTACATAATATGAAATGAAAACTCTTTTACTCTGATCTTCATTTCATAGCCATCGCTAATGCCGTTTTTTTCTTCGATCATGTACAAGACTTACAAGAGTGGGCGGATTTTAAGGAGCCAGGAGTGGCACTTTGTAACTAAATAGCGATCGGTAGCGATGAAGAATACTCTCGCTTGCCGTTTAGTTTCTACGACCAAGGACAGTATTCTTCATTACTACCGATCGCTATTTAATTACAGTGTACCTATGTTCCACCCCAGGAGCGTTATCAATGACGGGACTGCATAGCCATCGCCCGTTGCTTGCAATTCGACGGTTCGATGATTCATGATCGCTAGTTTAGATATTCTTATATTCTAACCATATTCTAACGCTATAAAATAATATTTTAATTTCGCGCGGCACTGTCTAACGCCCAAGAGGTCTCCAGCGGCAAAATATTTATGACGCCCCTGACTCCTTTTGCGCCCACTCTAATATATATTTCTTTAGCTCAAGTGATACAGAGGATTTGTCAGATGATGAGGACAGTTTAAATTCCGAAAGAAATACTGAGTCATACTCAAAAGCCAGTACTCCAGAACCGATTACATTTAAATCATTGTTTCCATCAACAAAAGAAGTATATGGTTTTGAAATTAAAAAACCTAGTGCGAAAGATATTCTTATATATAAAAAGTAAGGCTATATTTGATTAATAATTGTAAAAATAAAGAATAATACTAGAGTATATATAAACATCTCATAGTAGATATTTATACTGTGGTAGTGCATGGCAGGTTGTAACTTTGTTTTTAAATAACTTTTACTAAATTGAAACCTGTTGAAACTAAAAGTATTTCGGACTTCCATTGTCTTTATTTATTTTGACCATAGACATGCTATAGACTAAGGTCATGTACTTGATTTTGACTTACATAACATTTTGATCAGTGATCAATACCGAAACGTGGTGTCAAAAATAAAGACAATGGAAGTCCGAAATTCTTTTACTTCAATACTGACATACTGACTGAATCATCATTCAAAGAAACTTATACTAAGATGTCTTTTTTATTTTCAGGTATGTTTTAACAGGTAAAAGAGCAAATGGCACTGCATTAAATGTATTCTCTTCTAACAAATTCAATATTAAACCAATAAGTACTTTTTCTGAAGATACTTCAACTGAAGTAAAACCTCCCACAGTAAGTGAAAAATCTATTGAAATTTATCAGAAATATGTAAATCTTGGCAAATATGGTCCTCAAATGCCAAAACAATCTGATATAGAAATATACAAACAATATGCTAGTCTTAAATAATAATATTCTAGGCTTTTAGATCCAATTACATACTTTGATATTTTATATTTGTATTAATATACCGCACATATTTTTTCCTTCATGTTGTAAAATGTATTCTTTACTTATTTAATAAAATTTTATTAGATACGTTAATTTGTTTTTTACTGAAATTTAAATAGATAAATCCATTACACCTCCGAATTCTTGACACCCGCACCGATTGACGAAATTTTAACAATGAATCAGAATGAATAGAGATACCGTATGATCGAATAAAAACGCTATGAAATTAAGATTGCTGTCATTTTATATGTAAAATTATATGGGAAATGTCATCGATCCTCATTTCTAAGCCAACTGGACGCCATTTTTTTTCGATCATAGGGTATAATATGTAAGAAACAAAAATTACATAGTAGCGATGTGTGCTTTACCCTGGGGGTGAGTCCCACCCCTTCTCGGGGGTGAAAAATAAATCACCCATTTTAATTGCAAAAATCAATAAAGAGATGAATTCTAAGTAAAAAATATTCTATAACATTTTGTCAGAAAATATTTTCCGAGTTAGTTAGGATTTGAAATTATTTTTCATCTAAAAACTATATTTTTCTGCCATTTTTTATAAATAACTGGAAAACCTTGCGTTTTATCGCAAAAATGAAACTTGGAATACCGAATCAACTAGTTTTTTATTAATTAGGTACCGTAGGTACAGATAATAATAGCCGAGTCATCACTCTGTAAAGGTGATTTTTTATTTTTCGAAAACTAAATTGCAACCTTTTTTAATTAAAATACCGTAAAATAATGACGAAAGAACACATTTTTCGAAGAAAATGAATATGACCGTTTTTAAAGTGCTTTAAAAGACCTTTTAAATTCTTTTAAGTGCTTTAAAAGACCTTTTAAATTCTTTTTTAAAAGGTCTTTTGAAGTTCGTACCTCAAAAACTCGCGGAGTTATGATAAAAATGAAATGGTCACCTTATTTTTTCAAAAAAAAAATTAACAACAAAATCATAAAAATAAGCTATCAATTTGTAGGAAATTACACCAACTACAATATGACTACAATATTAACCTCTATAGTTGAACAATGTTTCCTTTGTACCATGGTTGAACAGCACCAGCTGTCCAATGTTCTCTGCTCTTTTTCCCATAAATACCTACAATTTTTCAGTCAGAGGTTTCTAATTAAATCTAAATTATATTCAAAGAACGGAGGGTAGAGGTAATTTAAAATTAATTGACGCAATATTAAAACTGCAATCTTCAAAAAAATCTCTTTAGAATTGTTTTCAAAATCGAATACAAGATTTTGATTTTAAAATATTTTGTTATGAAATATATACCTATATTAATAACTTAAATAATAAATTCAATAAAATATAGTTATTCAATATAATTTTAAATATACAAAAATTAAAAATCAGCAATTAGGAGTAAACAGGTTTATTAATAAAAACTCTTACAAGATGTTCCAGTAAGATTGAAATAAATACATTCTACTTAAGCTTCTTCTTTGGGCGGAGATTGTTGGTATGCCCGCATTTAGTCTTGCGACAATTAGTTGCACGAGGATGTAACCTAGCATAACATTTACGGCAAATCATTTTGTCACAATTGTATTTCTGTGCCAAGATACGTAAAGAAGGTTCAATAATGCCACCTCTCAATCTTAATACTAAATGAAGAGTCGACTCTTTTTGAATATTATAGTCTGAAAGGGTGCGTCCATCTTCAAGTTGTTTACCAGCAAAAATAAGACGTTGCTGATCTGGAGGTATACCCTCCTTGTCTTGGATTTTTGCTTTCACATTTTCGATAGTGTCAGAAGGTTCTACTTCGAGGGTAATGGTTTTACCCGTGAGGGTTTTCACAAAAATTTGCATTGTGGCGTATCTAAAACAAGGAAAAAACAATTTTTAATGTGACATTTATGTACCCTAACCTAAAATTAAGGAAACTAGAAAATAATTAAGTATAGGATCTTATTTTTTCGTTATTTATGTTTATATTGTTTACTTTAAATATTTATAATCGAATAATTAAAAACGATACTAAATAATATACTTTATTAAAGAAAAATTAAAAACTTACGTTCACTTAGTGCATGTGCCACAGCAATCTCGATAAAAAAGACAGGTCAAGTTGACAATTGACGTTCAAGAAATCTGTATACCGACATCCTGTGCCGACATCGTCTGTCGTTACCTGTTTATTTAGTTGCCTAAATGCATAAAATACGGAATAAGGGATGAGTTTAAATGAGAAAATATGTACAATATTATTACATTTTGTTGTAAATAGGAAACATTTTTTTCTGTCTAAAGAAAAATGATATATGTTAGATTTTATCTTTCACTTTTATTATTTTAAAAGGTAATGGCACGGCACATAAAATAATCGGCACGCCAACTCTACTCAGATTCCATTGTTTAAAATTTTTATAAAATTTGACCTTGTCGGCGCCATTATGGTTTCCTAGTCAGGGCCGGATTAAAACGTATTAAAAAATTTCTCAAAAAATACGACAGGGTCGTATTAAAAAAATACTGTAATTGACTGAAACTGAATTTTATTTACAATACTTTTGTCCAAACAAATGAATCGTTAACCGCGCATACTTCTCGAAAAGTAAAAATGAAAAAATCAATTAAATATTTCACTGTAGAGAACAGACAATTAAAATTAAAAGACATGCAACTAACAAAAACATGCCAGGAGTTACAAACAAGAATTAAAAAAATACCAATAAAATATTTATTGAACAATATAAAGAGGCTACGTACAAATTATGCCCATCAATGGGCGTAGCAAATTTTATTAATATTCAAATTTCACAAATTAATAAATCCACAATTTTTTTTGAGAAACTTCTATTTTTTTCATGGCAGGAAACAGTAGGTACCGCATTGTATTTTATACGGTTACAAAGTGAATTGGTAAACATTTTAAATTCAAAGTGAACAGAACGCAACCTGTACTTGTGGGCCTTATTTATATCTTCAATCAAGTCTTCTCTATTAGCTGCAATTGCCCATGTTCTTGCCCTAAAAATGTATTGTTAACTTATTTTTGATATAATCATTTTATTTATTTTTATAATTATATTTAAATGAATAATATAATGATTTTTAAAATTAATTTTTAATGTCTAGATTCTAGATACAACATTAAATTTTATTTTACTAAATATTTAACATTAAATCATACTACTATTAAAGTTTGTTAAGATTTTTAATTAGATCTTCCTATTTAGCTGAATGTCCTAATATGTATACTACTGTTTTTTTAACTAAAATATGTTAAAATAATTAATCACATATGTATATACATACCTAATCGGATCTCTAGGAAACAGAAAGAAACTTTTATTGCAGTTTAGTCCTCTACTCGGGCAGTTTTTTGCTGCACAACTTCGCCCAGGCATTTTAAAAACACGTAAAAATTAACGATTTAAAAATGTTGTTAATTGTTGCAGAAAAACAAAAATAAATTATATAACACAAGAAACGAAAATAAACTAGAAAAACCAAATATATAACACAATAAACAAAAATAAAACAACAACTATAAAATAACTCAAGAAATAAACAAAATAAATTAATCCGTACGCTACTGACTCGAATCAGCCGAAAGTGTGCGCAGTCGATGAAAGAAACTACGACACTGGTTATTTTCTGTTGATGGAAACCGTAATGGCGGCGTGCGCGACGGTATGCGCGTAGCGTTCCCGCCAAAGAGAGTTAAGGTTGACGCCCACTAGACCGCAGCGCGACGCGGCGCGGCGCCATGTGGAAATTTCTTTTGTCTGCTTGCCATGTATTTAAATGGACCAACGCACATCAGAGCGCGCAGCGCAGAAGCGCGCCGCGGGATTTCCGTCAAAAGTCCGGCAACTTTTCCGTCTCCGCCGTTTTGGCGCGTTGCAGTGTGCGTACTCACATTGGAAATAATTTTGCATTCGAGTCTTTTCAGTTGGCTTTTGACTAGGAACTGTTTTTATTTATTATCAATGGTAGAATTGTAGTTTTTTAAAGGTAAATTAGGCAAATCGATTTTCATAAAGGAATATGATATTTTTTAAGTCTTCCCCTCACTAGAGACAGATGGACGAAATGCCGTTTATCAAAAGATTTAATATAATTGAGGGGTGTAGAGGCAAAACCGGCAATCTCCACTTTTTAATTTAATAAAGTGACAATCTCAATTTTTAAATTCTATTACCTAAATATATAAAAAGATCAGGGTTTACGCACTTGTTCAATTAATACACATCAGAATAAATAAAATTATCAAAGTATTAGTTTTTTTGTCTCTTCTGAAAAAATATGATGAGTAGAGATGCTCGGTGTTTTGCTTCTAAAACCCTCAATTGAGGAGTGCGTAAAATGTTTCCCTTTATATTTTGTAATACTGAAAAAAAATGATCTTGTCTTTTATTAAATCTGGAAAAAGATGGTAAAATTCTCCAAACTTCTTTCTTTTTTGTTATTCGTATGAGTCCAAACTTTTCCTCATCCCTCTTCTCTTCCTCTGTTAGAAGAGCACAAAAATACGCTTTCGTCCGTGCTTGAACTCATTTATTTAAAAACTAAACTACAGTAAGTCAAAAAAACACTTCGACTATAACTAATAAATAGCGTTGCCGCGTTTCAAAAGCGCGCTATTTAGATTATCACTTTTTTTACTGTGAGATTATTTTGCCTCTACAATGAGTTCAATACGGACAAGCTTTGTGATAAGAAAGGAAAGGAAAGAAGAGGTGAAAAGTTTGAACTGAAGACAAAAAAGAAATAACCATACCATCTTTCAGACTAAAAAAGACAAAATATTTTTCAGTATTATAAAATACATTTTACACTCCATTGAGGGTTTTAAGAAAAAACACCGGCATATACTCATCATATTTTGAAGAGACTCGAAATATAATATTTTGATAATTCTTATTTTCTGATATATATTATTGCTGCTTCCTGATCTTTATATTTAGGTAATTAAATTTAAAATGGAAGATTGTCATGACAAAATGAGATTACCAGTTTACCCTCAGTAAATCTTTGATAGAACGTCCATGACTCTAGTGAGGAAGACTAAAAATATCATTCACTATAAATACGATTGCTGCAACTAAAAAATACATTGACATTAAATCACTGGTTCTAGTCAAAAAAACGAATCAATTATTTCAAGAATACGCTCACTGCACTGCCTTGAAACACGGAAGACCCGAAAAAGCGCTTAAGACTCTTGACGCGGTGCGCCAACGCGCTGCGCTGTGCGTCCATTTAACTACGCAAGTATCAAAGAAATTTCCAAACTTCGCCACCACCGTCTAGTGGGCGACAACCTTTAGCCTGCCATGTGATTTATATACCGTGGTAATGGTGTGGATCCGGTGGCTGACCTTGAAACGAGTTTTTGCTGCATATAGTCAGAGACACTACGCATGCGCACATCTTCGATGTTGCCAGATTGCAAGTTATTTTGGAATTATATTCAGTAGAAAACAAATATGTGCTTTTCAGTGTTTTTTTGTCAATATATACAGTTGGCTGGGAAATGACGATTGAGGACATTTCCCATATAAAATGACAGCCATCTTCATTTCATAGTCATCGCTGACGCTATTTTTTTTCAATCATAGTACGCGGTATATTATTTATATTATTATTTTAATATTTCGCACAACAACGTGAACGCTTATTATGTATTTTCATTGTCAATAAAATTAAATATAAATAAAACTCTAGATTCCTATAATTAATCTAATTGCTCTAGATTATTATATGCTACGTTTAAAAAGTGCTTTATTAAAAATTCGGGAGCTCCATGTCATGTTCATAATATTTTTTTTAACATTCCATCAAAACAAACTACGGAGGCCTTAAAAGGCCTTTAAGCCTCCGTAATTAAAATTGTAGAATCAGCTTCAGCAACATTAACAGTTACCTTTTGTTTAATTCTGCTTATACATATATTGCATTAATTTTTCTGCTACCTAAGGTTTCTCAATTCTTACAACTAATTTATGTGATATTCTTAGCATATATGATTTATAAACTATATTTTTGCTAATGGAAGGATGGAATAGGATATACAAAATTAAGATATTTTAACATTTATTTTCCATACAAAGCATAATAGAGTATTAAGATTAAGACATAACAAATATTATAAGAAAGATCTTAATATAATCACAAACTAATAAGTCTTAATTTGGTCTTGTAAACACAGGTACAAAACTAATAAGATCAAAACTCAACGTTCACCATATTGTCAAGATTTGGCATTATAGGAAACAAGAAATCACAGTAAATTAAGAAAAGAATATCAAAGTACACGATATTAAATACTGTAATGTATTCTACGACACAAACCATCTCCCTTCTAAAGAGAAAAAGATAAAACATAAAGCTTATTTTAGTCTTATCAACACACTCTTCGATAAAATATATGTCTAAAATTGCTATTAATCCACTAACTTGATATTTTTAAGAAATTATGATACAAACATTAAGCGGCCTACTCACGTGGCAATTTACAAATTGAGGCGTAATTGTACCGTGTGGAGTGCAATCGTGAATAACTTCCCGATATCGGCTAGTTGGAAGCATAAAATAATAAATACAAGAAGAAGTGTCAAGTCAATGTTAAATTATGGAAACAGCGTGGCTGCCTGGGTAACTAATTTTCAGATATGGCGGCTGGGACATTTGACATGACATAAACACTTCATTGACATGACAATTTCAATTTTATGAAATTTATTTCCGTTTCCGGTTTTTAATGGCGGGCTGTTCAGGAGGTTTAAATGAGGGTTAATATACTTTTTACTTTTTCCTAGTAGTAAATAATACAACAAAATTACTCAAAAATATTTATTTGGAATTTAGAACAATGTAAATATGCAAATCAACACAATTAAAGAGCTATAAACCCATAAACTACTGTATCAATATCAAAATATTTAAATAACATCAGAGATGCTGTGTTAAAGTGAATTAGTAAAGTAACAATGCACTGACTTACAGAAACTTGAAGATAAATAAATGTTTTCACAGCTTCGCGGGCGTAAAACTAACTGGAAGCAGGAAAAAGGCAACAGGAACCCACGCAAAACCTGGAATAAAAAAAATATGTAAAAAAAAACATAAATATAGGTACATAAGACTGTTATGAATTAAATCAAACAGGACTTGAATGAAAAT